CCTCTTTGCGATCGAGCAGCAAATCCAAGTTTAGCAGTAATAAAGAGTTTATTGGTGCTAAAGCCAAAGATTTTCTGACAGAGGAAAGATTTTTCCTTTCATAACAAGAGTATTAAATCCTTTGTTTACTAGGCTCTAGAAAAGAGATATGCAAAGCGGTTGTCAGATATTTCTTAGGAAAAAGCCAATTAAAGGGTAATCGAGTAAAGGATGAGAATTACCAATTGACTTCAAATGTCTCCTCTCCTCCTGCTCTCTCCTGCCTCCACCCCACAGCAGTGTTGTGCCCATGCAGACAGCTTCTATTCCAAAGAACCTCAGAATCACAGATAATGATCCAAATCTGAGCTTTTTTTTACTCATGAAACTGGAGCAGGCTTGTCATAGCTTAACGATTCTGTATTTTGTATTTTGTACTGTAGCAAGATCTCAAAGAATCATAGAATCACAGAATAGTTAGGGTTGGAAAGGACCTTAAGAACATCCAGTTTCAACCCCCCTGCCATGGGCAGGGACACCTCACACTAAACCATGCCACCCAAGGTTCTGTGCAACCTGGCCTTGAACACTGCCAGGGATGGAGCATTCACAGCCTCCCTGGGCAACCCATTCCAGTGCCTCACCACCCTCACAGTGAAGAATTTCCTCCTTATATCCAATCTAAACTTCCCTTGTTTAAGTTTGCGCCCGTTACCCTTTGTCCTGTCACTACAGTACTTAATGAAGAGTCCCTCCCCAGCATCCCTATAGGCCCCCTTCAGGTACTGGAGGGCTATAGGTTTAATTGAGCACTCTAACCCCGTACCTGAAATACAGATGGAAATGAAACAGAATTACTGGAGTAAAGCAAAATGATGCTGTAGGGCTGGTGCAGTTTTCTGTCCAGGTTGAGTGGAACATTGGGAAGATCTAATATGATAAAGGGAAGGAGACTGCTTGTCACCGCCGGTTTTGACTGCCTTTCTTAGAGAGACCTTGCCTATCACCAGTGCAGATTTTGGTTTAGAATGTTGTTGTTGGGGCATTCGTACTCAGTATCTGAAATAAAAAGTATTAAACACTTAGTTCCTGCAGAGGTTTATCTGCAGGAATGATGCTTCTGTTTGTGGTCTGGTGGAAATACGCTTTACTAATGGTGTTTCTAGGATGTAATAGGTGGTTTCCCACCACAAATATTCCTTTAGCCAAGCAATATTTGAACTGGACCAAACTAGAGCCACCGCTTATGCTAGTAATACCAAGTATTTTCTTGCTTAGTGTTGAAATTCAAGTACAAAAGTCTTTCTGGTCTATTTGCTCCAGCACCTCCTCTCAAAAAGGTTAAGAAGAGGTGAAAAGGATGAAAAGGCACTTGCAGGGTTTAAAAAATCTTCTATGGGAGAAAAAAAACATCTTTCATATCACAAGAAAAAGTCTCCTGTAGGTTGTTATGTGCATAAGGTGGAGGCTTAAGCGCAGACACATTTGCAGATGAACTGCTTTTACTAGCTTCTCCGAGACATGACATTTGTTCAGAAGATTAGCCAGGTTGTAATGTGTAGCATAATTGCACTGTGCGGATGTCCCAGAAGTGAAAACCTAATTGCTTGACAGGCCTATAACTTTGTGGTACGCTCTCACCTTGTTAGGTCCTTTTCTGATGCAGTTCAAATGAAGTCTGGCCGCAGGTGTGCCTAATTTACCTCGCAACAGAACGTGTTGAGTTTAATTGCACAGTGGTTGTTAGGAAAAATTGGTGGGTGGAATATCAAGTGACTTACTGTACGCAGCTGGCAGATGGGCGTTGAGAGGCATCGCGGGCTAAGTGTATAGGTGAGGTGAGTTAATAAAAGATGTAAATTCTATCTTAAAATGGAGAAGTCTTGTGGTAGGTAATACATTTTAATTAAGGTGGTAGAAGTCCCCTTTCTAGCAGTGAGGCGGGGGGGGGGCGGGGGGGAGGACATATGGGCAAAGGAATATCACAAAGACTGCATTTTTCTCTGTATCAGTATTTTAGGAGTGTATTTAGGAAGGGTACTCTGTGAGGATGTATTTATTAAAGAAGAGTACAATTTGTGCTTATAATACAATATATAGCAGGGAGAGCCATGTCTAGGAAGGCCTACATTCTCAATCTCTTGGTAGCAACAAAGTTTGAGACACAAGCAAGTGAAGCTCTGATCCAGCTCCTTGCTTCTTGCTGTGTCACACAGATGTTGCCTTGGGAGTGCAGGGCTTGCAGATAAAGCACCTGGCCCCTTTATTCCTGCTGTAGGAATGGGTTTATAGCACCCGTGGTCCTTGTTGGTCAGCTGAGAGGCACAACCAGCTCGGTTGCCTTCTCTTGGCAAGCTTTGAGAAATGCTCCACCTGGGAACATGGTTTTAAACCTACCTTGTATCCCTCTGAAAAGCTTATCTTAGTGCCACCTGAACTCTCTGAAAACACAGATTTAAAAAATGAAATATAATACCTCAGTATCGAGGAATGTAGCAGAGCTGAAATACGAGTGCTGCCTGTGTTCACCCCAGCCTGTGTCTTCATTATTTAGCTCAGTGCTCAGGGTCATCCTAGTCAGCTTGAAGATGTCTAATTCTACCAAGAGTGGGTCCTTTTCACCAAATAATTGAACAAATACCAGTTCCAGTCGATGTTTTAGTGAAAGGGTGCTTAATAGCCCAATTTTTTTTGACAGGATGTGAGCTCTCTGTATAGAAACAATTCATCACGAATGCTTCACGTTAAAAAACAATCCACAAGGAGCAATACTTAGCATTCCTCGTGCACAATTCATTGGAGAATTTCCGGGCAATTTACAAACATTAGCTCAATAAGCCTCACAACACCCATTTGAGATCAGAAAAAAAAAATAATAGATAAGATACTCCACTTCAGCCTGGCTGTGGCACTAAGGAGCTGTAAAGCTGGAGGCTTGTCCCAGCTCCAGACTCCCCAGTACCTGGGGGTACAGTACTAACGTGGGAATCAGCTGGGCCTTGCACTTCATCAGAGTCTGTGGGGTGGAAGGTGTGCAAAAAAACCCTAGAGGTATGACAGAACTGTCATTACACTTAGCCTATAGCCAGTTGACCTGGAGATCATAAGTATCTTTACAAAAAAAACCAAACCCAAACCTCCCAACCTTCCCAAAACCAAGGCAGATAAATTAGGGTGAGGGTGTTGCTAATAAAGGTGCAGTTTCATGGAGTTGTTAACAGTGTCCCTTAATAGTGCCCAGAAAACCTGAGTTTAAGTGAGCATCCAAGCTAGGAGATCATGTCAACCACCATGGATAGCTCAACAGCTAAAACCCTTTTACAGATTTTGTGTTGCTGCCTGTAGTGGGCGGTTGGAACTGGATGGCCTTGAGGTCCTTTCCAACTCAAACTATTCTATGATTCTATGATTTTGGGATAGGAAGTTTTAAAGAAATGTACACTTCAGCACATGCTGAACTGATGGCAATGATATATTTATGCACAGTTTCAGTAAACTTAGTTGTTTCCTACTTGACTTTCTGACATGAGAGACCTTTCCATCAGCATTAGCATCTTGTATTAATATTAGGGCCCTGTTTAAGATTAAACTGAAGAGAAAGAGTTGTGATTAACAGCACCAGTTTGTGATATGGGGATACTTCCATAATGCTTCTGTCTGATACTCAAAGCTCTGCAGGAATGAGCACAATGTGATGCAGCCTCAACCATACTTTCTATTGGCCATGGCTGGGCTGTATTGGGTGCTGAAGAAAGTGAGAGGGGCCTGGCTTGCCTCCTGCCAGGAATGCTGTTGGCACAAGGTAACTTCTGTGAGGTCTATACATCCAGAGTAGTTCCAGTCACTCATAAAGATTGACATGAATAAATAATAGGTGCTCATATTCTAAATGTAAAAGCTCTGCCTAACCTCGCTATTCAACATGTATGAAGCTGGGCAGCACAAGCTGCTGGACTAGAGCACCTGAGAAACTCTGGGTGAGGAAAAAATCCTGAGCCTTGCCTGTCTTTAGCAGTCAGTCATTAGAAAATGCAGACCCACAGAACATCTTGTTTTAATTATGAAACATGAAAACACAGCTACATGAAGAAAAGAGGCAGCGTTAAACTGTGGACATCCTCCTGTGTGAGGGCAGGATGGAAGAGTGGAGGGTGGAGACATCCCCTATCAGCTTGTTTCTCCCTTATGAGAGGGTGACATAAAAGAGTTTGCATCTTTCCAAGCTTTTCCCCTTCCTCTAAGTGCTTGCTGTATTCCCGGGAGGCAGCGTTGCTACAAAAATGGTTTATAGGGAGATGCCTAGATGATAAGGGTTAGTCCTAAATAATTGCTGGTTGCTGCTCAGCAAAAATAATCTGGATTTCCATCCCCGGGTAAGTGACTCCTTACAGTTAAAGGGTGGCAAAGGTTGAAGAGGTCGTAAGACAGGGCCTAATTTGCCATGTTCCTTTCCTTTCAAAAACAATGAGAGAACCGGGGCCTTGCCGGTGGGCAGATCCTGCCTGGATCTCCCTGGAGTCAGCAGGAGTTGGATCAAGTCCCTTTGAACAACGAGAGTTTCCAAACTGGAGGCAAAGCCAAGTGTTTTTCAGAAGATTGATCATTCATTACCTTGGAATTTTTCAACGTAGAGGTCATTCCTGCTAACATAAGTTGTGAAAAAAATAAAATGTATTAAAAAAATAGAGACAAATTCTCATCTGGTGTAAGTCATTGCCTTTGAAGTCAATGAGTCACTGAAATCAACTTTCCCACACTGAGCTGAGGATACGGCCTGGAGTCAATACATTTGTAGTTGTTGAAAAATTAAAAATATATATTTGCCTTTCCCTGGCAATAATGTGCTGTTTATGATAGAGATCTTGAGTTTTAAAATAAGTTCATTAACTAACAGGAAAGTCATATTTCACTACTGGTATTCATTTGGGTATAACTATTTATGATGAAATTTTATTAAACTTTCTTAAAATTGGATTTACATTTTGATGAATCTAATAGATTTCAATTTTGTATTTTTATAGATTCTTTCTAAAGTTTTTCCTCAAGTGCAATCAGAACTGTTTGAAGAATGCAGGCAACCCACGAGACATGCGAAGATTCCAGGTACAGATCCCCTTAAAGAATAAATGATGTGTAAAGGACTTGTCTGTTCATCTTCAACTTTCGTTAGTGAAAACCCAGTGTCAGTGCTTCTACTTCATGTATTTCCAAGGCTGTGTGCCATTAAAAGAAGTGCCATTGATACTTTACATTTCCCCCACTAATCTAAGTGCTAATTCTTTGGACTCACCGAGTTCTGTACTGGACTGTAATGGATCAATGCTAAAGCAAGAGGGTGTCACCTCAGGAAGTTTCTTCCCTAGTTTTCCTTCAACTAACACCTTGTGTTGTAGTGTGGGATGTGCTCAGACCTGCAGAGATTTCACTTATGTAGAGTGAGTAACATTGTCTTACTAACAGATATGGCTATGGAGCACAGGGAAGTCTGGATCTCACACAGGGATTTTTCACATTCACAACTTGTAAATCCAGCGCTGGTGCTCCAACCCACATGTTTTTATTCCAGTTGTGTCAGAAAATGTTTAATACTTCACTTTCTCCTTACAGCTTTTGAAATATCCTGTGGTGAATCATAACACTACAGAGAGACAGCTGACGTGATGGACAAATGATTTCCTCTATATTTGGGGTCATTTGAAATGCTTGTTAGGAAAGGCATGGTTTTTATTTCAAAGTATTTCACAATGATATTTGGGACTAATAATAAAGTAGCATTGAGATGTTCAAAACTTTCTTATTTTGGAGAAGAATAACTTGTGGTTAAACTTGATAGCAAAACATGTGACATCTGTTTCCATGCACAGCCAACCAACCAGTGAAGCCAGCACCCTTGAGCTAGCCAACAGAAAAGATCTGTAGCTGGAAAAAATCTTTCTTCAAAACAATTGAGCCAAGCTTCCATTTTTCATGCATCTCAGCTTCACGTGGCATTGGTGATATTGATCCATCTGAACAGAACAGAAGGTCAAACCTGGAATGAGTGGAAATGTCCTCTTTGTCTCACCGATGACTAAATGAAGCATCAGTCATGAGTGATCCTGTGGTCGACAATGGAGCCAGTAGGCACTAGAAAGACTTCCCTGGGTCTCTTTAGCTAATCTCCCTGCCTCAGAAGGTTTAACTGGACTTAACAGTATGTCAGATCTTGAACAATATTTTTAACTGGTTTCACTGTCTCAGCACCTTCCTTTTAGGTGCTCTGCAGGAATAAGCTGATATAACAAAGCGTAGCATGTCTACTTTCTTCTGCTGAACTACAGTATTTTCCCTTGGTGACTGACCTACATATACATGACAGAACAAAAATAGTTGTCATTTTTATATACACCTTCCTCTGCCTTTTTAATATACCGTGCTCTAGGAACCAAATCCAGAAAACTGCACTGAGAATCACACTTGTGTGTTTTGTGATATTTCTCAAAGTCTGTGGATCTCCTTAAAGGTGAATGTGGGCAGTCCGGTGGCCTGGCAGCAGCTCTGCGACCATGGCGAGTGTGAGACCTCAGCACTCTCCAAAGTGGATGCTGACAACAGTGAAAGTGTCCACTTCTGGGAGGAGAAAGCTAGGGAAGCAGAGCAGCCTGGCAGAGAGCTGCCCTCGGGCTGTTCCAAAGGGTACCGCAGATGGCTGTCTCAGAGGAGGCGGGACACATAGAAAAGGTGCTGTGATAGCTGAAAGCTAATTATAGGTTGTGAATAAGAAACAGGATCAGAGGTGATCCAAAACATAGAAGCAGACAGGAAATTTCTTCTGATGCTTTGGACCAGCTCTGTGCAAAAGGAGGCTGGTTTTCCCCTTCCGTTTTTGTTCATTAAGTGTTTAGGTGATGGTATGAAATAATTTCTGTTATGCCCAAAAGTAAAGTAAATGGATGGAGAAAGATAAAATTTACACCAGCTTTTGCCACCGTCACCAATAACATCTTTAAGGCCAAACTTAGCCTTAGTGACTTTAAGGACCCTACTAACATTAAACCCCAAAGAAAACCCTGCAGCGATTACTTCATACAGAAAACCTGGAACCTAAACCACAGGGCCCATGCTGGAGTATTTAAATAAGATGTAAATGTCTGTCTGGGATAATAGGAATTGACCTATGAAGCTGTGGTCTGCACAAACACAGGCGCATCTCAGGGTTTCCTCTTTGGCTTGTGTTCATGCAATATCGTTTCCGGAAGGAGTTTCACAACTCCATTGTGTAGGTGTTTTTATCGGGAAGGTTGTGCATTTTGCATATGTTCCTTTTCCATTTTCTACTGAGAAGCAGCTGGAAGCCAAAGAAGGCTCTATCCATCATCTCTTCTATGGCCGGACTCTGAACCTGGACACAAGAATAGGAGCCTTTCACTCAAAAATAAAGGAGGAAATTCCATTGACATACCAGGGTCAATCACCATCCAAATGAACTTGAGAAGGGATACTTTTCATGGATTGAAAACACTTTCACTATTCATATTCAACTCGGTCTTTTCAGATGCAAAAAAGTTCATTATCAGACATTAAATGTAATTGTAAAACTGACCTGGAGATCATTTACTGAAGAAAAAAATGGGGAGTTACGATTCTTCCTGATTTATTAAGCTTTTTTATTTGGAATCCTCGCAACCCTTCATTTGAAGACAGTCTCAAGTGAACAAATTTTAATTAGATAAACTATCTAATCAATATATCAACAGATCAATCAAAACAGCGGCTTTTAAAATGAGTGGCTAGAGGGGTGTTTCTGAAACTAATGGCTAGAAGAATATTTCCCTGAATTGAATTCATTTGTTAGCATAATAGGAGATTAAACTCTAATTAGTGTAGCAGGTTCTGAAGAGAAACAATTGTGATTTAAAAATCACCAGTGTTAGCCACATCAACAAAGATGTATTCATAGTTGTCACTCACTTCGTTTAAGGCGAAAAGTGACGGGCTGTGGTGCTTTGGCTCAAAAGACAGTCTTGATGCTGTGTCTAGGCTTGCGGGGACGTGCAGGGTGTTTTCAGTTTTGCCTTTTGTTTTCTTTTTTCAGGTTGTTGTATCAACAACAGTCAATGTGGATGGCCACGTGCTGGCTGTCTCAGACAACATGTTTGTACACAACAATTCCAAACACGGGAGGCGGGCTCGCCGCCTTGACCCCTCAGAAGGTACGGCCCCTTCTTATCTGGAAAATGGTAGGCACACATTTACATGTCTTTTTTTTTTATTTGCAATGCTTTTTTTTTTCTTTTCCTTTTTTTTTAGTTGTTTTTTTTTTTTTGTTTTCTCACCCTACTTTATGTTGATGCACTACGACATTTACTTTTACATAATTTCTTCTCTCATCCATCAAACCACCCATTAAAAAAGTCCATTAGTATTTCTCAGCCCTTGTCAACTAGAGTGCGGCGCTTCTGAATTTGCTTCTGACTTCTTTCTTTATTTAATACTTACAGTTTTGCAGTCACAACCAATTTTTCATCTTTTTCTATATTTTTTTTTTCTTCAGTCTTGTTTTGCTTGCAGCTTTTTCTTGCTATTTAATTTGACTTGATTTTATTTTGGCTTGTCATATTCCTTGATCCAGAGGTACAGTCTCAGGTTATGTATGCAAGTTTACGTGGATGGTAAAAACATGACCAAATCTGTAAAGAATTTACTGTGAGGTCAATTTCCTGTGGCTGGGCCTTACTGCAGATTACGGCAGGAGGGGGTTTGTATGAGAAAAACAGCATAAAATGTTTTCCTTCAGACTCACTCAATGTGATTGACTTCTTGCCTGAACTGCTAAAAGAAGATAGGCTGAGATGAAGAGGAGAATGGAAAGCAGCTCTGGAAATCCAGAATTGTGAAATGCTATCTTTCTGGAGCCCGTCAGCCTCCCAATCACTCACACACAATCACAGCTGTGTTCGTACACATGCACACATGTATTTATTCTCCCACAAAGCCCCAAATAATCATTTAGATTTAAATATCACTGTAAAATACAGCAACATAAAATACAAACCAGCTCACAGGTAACCTGATATTAAATAAAATAAGAATGGAATGTAATGTGATGGGGTGGAATGGAATGAAATAGAATAGGATAGACTAGGCTAGACTGGACCGGACCAGAACAGAACAGAATATTTTCAGATGGAAACCAAAAGAGCTGACCAAAAATTATATGCATAGGGGCCAAATACATCTTCAGTTCTTCAAGGGTTAGAATACTCAAAACCACTGTGACTTGACGTACAACAGTTTCCACTGGAGTCCTCATGCCAGTTGTTACTAACATATTGACAGGATCATGGCTTTTTACACTAATAAAATTAATTACAGTCGTAACAGAATACTAAGCTGCTAATACAATCATTGTCATTTTAGGTTCCAAACAGTATTTACCAATGGGCACGCAGAGAAATGAATGAGGCAAGCCACGATTGTCAGAAGGAAATACACTCTAGACCTCAAAACATGGAAAGTGATTTCCAAATCTGCTGCAGTCCACACACACAAAACTAATTTGTTTTTCTGCATTAATAACTAAGGTAGAAGAGAACAAAAATATAATAATTAAAGGTCGCCCTGAGCACCAGAGTCATTATGGTCTATGACGTATTGTTTATCTCTTTCATATGCACTGAAAGTAGGTGTGTGTTTTGCCTAGCAACCGTCACTAATGAGGTTCACAATTAAGAAGGCTGAATCCTCTCCCCTAGTCCTCTCCTTCCCCAGAGAGCGAGAACTAGCAACATTATAGGTTCAAGTAAGCATGCTCAGCCCTGTGGTGTTAGGTTTTAGTCTAGGTCCAAATTCAGCCTCTTCTAATGAGCTATTATGATCTTAGCAAAATACAAGTATTTATTTTTGTAAGCTGCATGAAAAGAATTTGACTCTAAGCAGAAAATATCACTTAGAAAAATAAAGGCCACTTTTCCATGCTACAGAAAACCTACAAATAAATGTCACTAACCGATAGCTCCTTTCTTTTGTGATATGGTAATTG